TTTTGGGGGGATCCAGGCAGTTTTGGGGGGTCCAGAGGGGTTTTGGGGGGCTCACGTGGACGGGCACATTGAAGTAGTCAGCCTTGAAGGCGTCACCTACCTCCACAAAGGGAGGGGAGCTCAAAGGAGTCTGGGGGGCTCACGGGAGCCCAAAGGGTTTTGGGGGGCTCCAGGCAGGTTTTGGGGGAGTCCAGGCAGGTCTTGGGGGGGATCCAGGCAGTTTTGGGGGGCTCACGTGGATGGGCCCCTTGAAGTAGTCGGCTTTGAAGGCGCCACCCACCTCCTTAAAGGGAGGGGAGCTCAAAGGAGTCTGGGGGGCTCAGGGGAGCCCCAGGGGTTTTGGGGGGTCCAGGCAGGTTTTGGGGGTCCGGGGGGTTTTTGGGGGGCTCACGTGGACGGGCATGTTGAAGTAGTCGGCCTTGAAGGCGTCGGCCATCTCGCCAAAGCTCTGCAGCGTGTACTCGCGCGTGGCCTGCTCGAAGCCAAACGCCTCCGGGGGCCGCTTGCACTCCTGGGGACACCGGGGGGGGTCAGGGGGCTTGGGGACACCGGGAGGGGTCAGGGGGCTTGGGGATATTGGGGGGTCAGGGGGCTTGGGGACGTTTGGGGGGGGTCACTGGGGACAGCTCCAGATTTTTGGGGCATCCTACAGAAAGCACCTCAGGGGGTCCCTAAACCCCACGGATCAGGGGGTCCCTAAACCCCACAGATCAGGGGGTCCCTAAACCCCACGGATCAGGGGGTCCCTAAACCCCACGGATCAGGGGGTCCCTAAACCCCACGGATCAGGGGGTCCCTAACCCCACAGATGGGGGTCCCTAAACCCCACAGATGGGGGTCCCTAAACCCACAGATCAGGGGGTCCCTAACCCCACAGATCAGGGGGTGGTCCCTAACCCCACAGATGGGGGGTCCCTAAACCCCACAGATGGGGGGTCCCTAACCCCACAGATGGGGGGTCCCTAAACCCCACAGATCAGGGGGTCCCTAACCCCACAGATGGGGGGGTCCCTAAACCCCACGGATCAGGGGGTCCCTAAACCCCACGGATCAGGGGGTCCCTAAACCCCACAGATGGGGGTCCCTAAACCCCACAGATGGGGGGTCCCTAAACCCCACGGATCAGGGGGTGGTCCCTAACCCCACAGATGGGGGGTCCCTAAACCCCACAGATCAGGGGGTGGTCCCTAACCCCACAGATGGGGGGTCCCTAACCCCACAGATGGGGGTCCCTAACCCCACAGATCAGGGGGTCCCTAACCCCACAGATGGGGGTCCCTAACCCCACAGATGGGGGGTCCCTAAACCCCACGGATCAGGGGGTGGTCCCTAACCCCACAGATGGGGGTCCCAGCTCCAGATCAGAGGAACCCAAACCCCCTCCCATCACAAGCCACGCACAAGGTGGGGGTTTTCCCAGCCCCACAGCGGGGTGGGAATTGGGGAGGGGGATCCCGGGGGGTGTCCCCGTGCCCCCCCTCACCGCCATGACGCATTTGGGGCAGCGCCAGATGCCCTTGGGGATCTCGGGCAGGGGGGGCAGCAGGCAGAAGATGTGGTAGTTGTCATCGCAGCCGTCGCACAGCAGCAGCTTGTCGTCCTCGTCCCCCCGCGAGCAGATCCGGCACACGTAGGAATCCACCTGGGGACAGGGAATAAAAAAGGGGGTTTTGGGGTGAGGATTTTGGGATTTGGGGGGGCTGAGGGAGGGGTCCCACGCCCCAGCCCTACTCACGAACTGGCTGTTGCTGTGGCTGCGGCGCAGCCTCATGGTCATCTTGGTGCAGGGCTCGGGGCTGTGGCGCAGCTCGTCCCGCCCGTCCCGCGCGCCCCCCGGCAGCGCCGGAGACCCCCGGGGCTCCCCCGCCGGCTCCTCCTTCACCACCACCGTGGGGGGACACTCGGGGGCGTCCTTGTCTGCGGGGAGGGGGGAAA